TTCATTTGCAAGTGCGGTATGCCTACATTACCCTCCTACTTCGAACTAGGAGGGTAGTGTAGACATACCCCCAGTGTGTGGAGGGGGCGGGTCCACATGCTGGCCCTGGCCTCCTGCCTGTTGGGGTGGGGCTCCATGGGCCTTCCCCAGCCTCCAGCTTGTCTGTGGGGGAGGGCTCTGCAGGCCAGTCCCAGCCTCCTGCTTGTCCGGTGGAGGGGGGGGAGGGAGGAGGAGGGTTCCATTGCCTGGCCTGGGCCTCCAGATTTTCCAGGGAAGGGGTGGTCCTCTGCTGCCTGGTCCTAGTCTGTGGCTCCTCCAGCATGGTGGGGCAGCTGGCCAGAGGGTTCTCCCTCCATGCAGAACTGTGGCCAAGCCCTGGGGGCAGGGGTGGGGGGAGTAGCTGGCAGCATGGAGAACCCTAGCCCTATCTGGCCACTCTCTCTTTGGTGTAACCATCTCCCTGTGATCGCTCTGCAGTATAGCTGCTTCCTGCGCTCACTGACCCCACCGCTCACTTAGAAGTATAACTGTCTCTTCTATCCACACAGTGTGCAGTGGCGGTCAAAAAGGCAAATAGGATGCTAGGGATTATTAAGAAACAGATAGAAAATAAGACACAGAATATATTACTGCCCCTGAATAAAACTATGGTACGCCCACATCTTGAATACTGTGTACAGACGTGATCTCCTCACCTCAAAAAAGATATTTTGGCCTTGGAAAAGGTTCAGAAAAGGGCAACTAAAATGATTAGGGGTTTGGAACAGGTCCCATATGAAGGAGGTTAAAGCGACTGTGACTTTTCAGTTTAGAAAAGTTATTTATTAGTTCCCGTAATAGAAGAACTAGAGGACACCGAATGAAATTAATGGGTAGCAGGTTTAAAACTAATAAAAGAAAGTTCTTCTTCACACAGCGTGTAGTCAACCTGTGGAACTCCTTGCCAGAGGAAGCTGTGAGCGCTAGGACTATAACAGAGTTTAAAGAGAAGCTAGATAATTTCATGGAGTTTAGGTCCATAAAAGCTATTAGCCAGGGGATAGAAACGGTGTCCCTGGCCTCTGTTTGTCAGAGGCTGGAGATGAATGGCACGAGACAAATCGCTTGATCATTGTCTTTGGTCCACCCTCTCTGGGACACCTGGTGCTGGCCACTTTCAGTAGACAGGCTACTGGGCTAGATGGACTTTTGGTCTGACCCAGTATGGCCATTCTTATGTTCTTATCTGCTCCCTCCCTTTCCATATGATGAAAAACAGTGGGATTCCAGACATACCCCAATTTCTTGGTACAACCAAACCCTGAACACATGGACTGACAGACAGATGGATGGATGGACTCATGGACAGAAAGATGCACGAACTCTCTAAAATACATAGTTAGATAGATAGATAATGAACGAAAGATGCACGAACTCTCTAAAATACAGTTAGATAGATAGATAGATAATGAAAGCAAACACCAAACAAAACAAAAGTACTCAGAGAATGTCAATTGGAAGCATCTTTTTCGCAAAATAGTGTCAGATGTAAAGATACACTGTCCTCCGCACTGTGATACAAATGTCATGTGTTGGCAAGATCGATATAAAACCATAAATTGTTTTTAAATAATCCAGAAACTGCAAATGGTGTAACATTCAGCAGCTTGCTTGTTAAGCAGAGTTTCTTTTCATGAGGACATTAAACCTGTACTCTGCCATCTGTACTGGCTGCCTATTAATTTCTGGCTTGATTTTAACATGTTTTTGGCCTGTAAGCCCTAGACAACCTCAAACCACCTCTCTCGCCCTATGACATACCACCACGGTTGTTGTCAGCAATGAGTTCTGAGCCAGGTAGACGGGATTTCTGGTAAGGAGATATCCATTAGCACTCTGAACCTTTTCATTCCTCCCTCCCCCTCCCTTGTTTCATAACAGACTTAGATCAACAAACTGCAGGGTATGATTTGTTCACTTCATATATAAAAAAGTTCCATTATTGATCTAATAAACCAGCTACTATCTATAAGATCTTTGGTCCCTTCTGTTCTCTACTTGAGGCACACGAGAGTTTAGTCTCCTCTGATCTGTAACATGTCAGTCGATTTTTGATTATTATCTTTCATGGAAGCATGGTGGGTGGTGTTGGTGCCTGTAATATATAGGTGGTCAGACTGGATGGTTTGGTAGCCTCTTCTGGCCTTGAACTCTCAGAGGGTATGTCTACACTACCCTCCTAGTTCGAGCGCTGCACGGGGTTCGAACGAGCGGGGTTTTAAAAATGGCGGCGCCCCACTTATGCAAATGAAGCCCGGGAAATTCAAATCCCGGGCTTCATTTGCAAGTGCGGTATGCCTACATTCCCCCACTAGTTCGAACTAGCGGGGTAGTGTAGACATACCCTGACTATGCATTGCAGATATAAGTACCACCCATTAACGATTATGAAGCCGATCGCTAGAAGGTGTTAGAGATCATTCTACATTACAATTATAAGCAAGCTTTTGGATTTTTGGACTATAAAATAATCTGTAACGACTGGTTTGCTATTTATGGAAACATCTAACTACTTATTAATTCTTTACAACCTTTTAAAAGAACCTAACTATTAAGTGCAACACTGTGGCTCACAGGTGTCTGGAGATGAGTCAGGTGGAAAAATGGTTGAACAGGGAACCCAGTTGTGATTTTGTTGGCGTGGTTTATTTCATTTGTTATAGTTATGTAATAGCCAGGGTGATATGTTCTGTAGGGAATTGCTGGAGTCCTTATTTTATTAGATGTATTTCTTCCTGAGCTTATCAAGGACTCCAAGGACACTAAATAAGTATTTCAGTATTTTTTCTACTTTGTGAATTTCTCCCAGGATGCACTATATTCTGGTGGTTATTTCTGTGTTTTCTGAACTAACCTTCACTAGTCCTGAATTGCTGGAATACAATTAAAATTCAATTTAGCCAACAATAACCTCTTTTCAGAAGACAGAGTAGTGGCTATTTTTAAAATCTCTATACAGGCAGTCCCCGAGTTACGCGGATCTGACTTACGTCGGGTCCACAGTTACAAACAGGGATTTTCTCGCCTCGGAGGACTGGAGCGGCGGGACGCCTGGT